ACGCTCTTCTCTGTAAGTTCCAATCCTGCTAAGCTCATTCCTACCACAGAATGTTTACACTTGCTGGTCTACCTAATGGGAATACTGTCCCCCAGATCTCTCTCATCATTCAAATCTGTTTCCATTTCAGCTCTTCAAAGAGCCCTTCCTTTCCCATCCAATCAAAAGCAGCACCCTACCAGTCACTCCCCTGGGCCTGTTTTTCTTTATAGCAACTATTGTATCTGAAAATGTCAACTGTGCATTTTTTTTTTTTAACTAATTACCCCACCTGCGGAGGGTAAGCTCCCTGAAAACAAGGATCCTGTCTATCTTAGTCACTGATAGGTCCCCAGTTGCTAGAGGGACTGGCACAGGGACTAAACGATCAGCGATCTTTGTCAGGCTACCCTTCTCATTTCCTGCCCGCTCTAAGCTATAAGCTCTGTGGGGTGGGTACCAGGTCCACTATGCTTACCACAGGTGACTAGCACGTTGCCTGGTACTCAGTTTATGCTCAATATTCACTACTTGCAGTTCACATGCCACACTATCATATCTCTATTTTTTCCCCTATGATTTTGCTTCTAACTGGAATTTATTCTCATTATCCTTTCTTGGCCAACTCTTACTCATTCTTTGAGGGTTAATTCAGGAGTCACTTCCCTTTCTTTTCTGACCCCATAGCTAAGTATGTTGTTCTGCTATGTTGACAGGCATTCTGGACATTATACTACATCACGAATATCAGTTTATTTATTGGTCACTCTCAGACATCTTTAAAAATGGGTAGTTGAAGTTTTTATTGTCTTCCTAGCACCGAGAAGAGTGGCTGCTCCCTAGCACGCAGGCATTTAGCCAATGAAGTAAAATGGAATGAACAGTTTCTTAATGAAAATTAAAATGCTTTTTCTCTATTTCCAGAAAAGTAGTATAGGAAATATATATATAGAGAAATGGTTTTTAAGTCAGAAGTCCTACAGTCAACCTGCAACTTTATCTATTACTAGTTGTATGACACTGAGCAAGTCGCTTAACCTCTATTTTAGTTTTCTCATAAAGTGCAGATTTAAAAAATTGAGCTAGGAAGGTTTGTGTAAGGATGTAATGATAGAACATAAAGCATTCTGTAAGCTTTAAGAACTACATTTATCAATGCTACACTACTCAAAGTAAAAAGTAGTGTTTTTGCTTTCCATTTACTCATAATTTAACTTACCTATGAATCTTTATTAAAAATTAACATCTTTTTTTTTTTTCTCTTGAGAGGTTTTTTCACTATAGGGCGCATGCGCTCACCAGACAGACAGAGAGAGACAGAGAGACAGAAAGCGAGAAATCACCCCCCAGAGGGGATGGCCATGCCGCAATCCCTTCTCCTCCATTCTCCTCTCGGGATCTTGGGCACGCATGCACACGTGCCCAGCGTGGGTTTTAAGCCACTGGGTCCAGGATGTGAACCGTGGTCAACTACGTGGGAGTCCAGCGACATAGCCATTACGCTAACTGCTGGTTCCCCAAATTGAGATCTTACGTGCCTTTATTTTCTGGTTAATTATAGAGATGAGTAAAGCCAGGTAAAAGGGGTTAAGAAACTTGCTTAAGACCACGTAGGTAGTAGCTGGTACAGTCAAAATTTGAACTTTGCGGGGCCGGCAGGTGGCGTGGTGATTGAGGGTGCTGGACTCCCACATGGCTGACCACGGTTTGAGTCTTGGATCTGGTGGCTTGCTTTCTCTCTCATTCTGTCCCTTTCTGGTCAAATTAAAATAAATAAATAAAGTTAAACAAAAGAATTCTTTAAAAAAAATTTTTGAACTTCGCTATTCTGACTCTAGAAGCCTGTTTTATAAAAACAAGAAGGATTTCTTGTTGCCAATATGACCATGTCATGACAAAAACTTGCCATGCTTAGAAAAACAAAACAAAACAACCATACTGTACCTCACAAACATGTACAATTACATATAAATCAGAAATTACAACTTTTTTCCATAGGGCGCATGTGCTTGCTAAAGAGAGACAGAGAAGGAGGGAAAGTGAAAAATTACCCTCTAGGGTGGGTAGTCATGCCACAATCCCTCTTCAAGCTTCATTATTCTCTCAGGATTTTTTGGCATGCATGCACATAAACCCAGTATGTTTTCCAAGCCACTAAGTCTGAGACTTGAACTATGGAGTCAACCATGTGGGATTCAGTACCTTAACTTCTATATCACCTGCTGGTCCCTTAAAAAATGTTTTTAATGTCAGACCTAGCAAAGCCAGGTTCTTCTGACATCAGACCAGTAGAGGGTAAGACATCAAGTTTTTTTCCTTGTTTAAAATGAGCCACACAAGAGCTGAAGAACTTTCTTCCTGCCTGTTACTGTCTTTCCGGAATGCATTTCCAGTTTTAAAATAGAAGTGATGGTGGAAATTAGCTTCAAAAGAGGTAATCGCAGTTTATAGTCTTTTACAGGATACAACTACAATATCTATATGCAGGACTCTGGAAACACTTTATTCGACATATAGACAGAAAAGGATATTTTTTCAGCATATATAAGGTAGCTAGCCTTGCTGCTTGAAAGTTGGCTCTGACAGTTCTGTAGACAGCTTTCCGAAGACCGATGAGATGCTGACTGGGATGCTGTCCAGCTTTATTAAATGGGCAAGCAGCACTGACCCTGTCAAGCAAACTTGAAAAGTAAAATGTGATACAACTGTACAGGTGTCCTAAAGTTTTGGTTTCCTAAATCCACAATTCTAATCAACTTAGAAAAAAATTCCTTTTTCATGATTTTCATTAGAAAAATGATTTTTCCCCACTCAGGTCTCACAAATAGCCATTTCCCTGATACTTACGCAGCTACTAGGGAAAAAAAAGGAAAAGAAAAAACCAGATCTTCAAAGGGCAAAAGGTTCCTCTGATATGGAAAAACAAATGATTTAGTTGAGAAATAATAGAAGTATTTATGTAAAAATTTGCACTTTTTTTGCACAGATACATTAAGTGCTAAAATACACTAATGTGGAACTATAATAGATGCGAATGACTCTTAGCACTCCCAAAAATAAAGTAGTGGCATCCATTGCAAAAATGCATCATGACTTTTCTTATAACCCGATACTTTACATTCAGTTTTCAAAACCTTGATCTACAGGATGTATGAAGGGCTTAATTATAAACACTTCCATATTCTTAATATTCACTTAGCACATATATTTGGTCATGTGTACAGAATCAAATACTATATTTCAGAAATACATTCTGTACATTCACGGAAGCAGGGCAAAGTTACTTACCCACCTGCTGCCACTGGCACTTACCTACTCACAATGAAGTAGGGGACGCGGAAAGATAACAGGACCAGTGGCCAACAGGAGAATGCAAGTAAAAAGGCAAAGTAAGGGTTACTATGTAGTAGTGTAGCTACTCTCAAAACTGTTTAAGAGGAAGCACATTTCAGGGCACTTTCCTTAATGTTAATGAAGAATAATCATTTGTAACAATGACATATAATGTGTTGTTTTATAACTAAAAGTACATGACTTAATATTACACAGTTATTGAATAGTTTGTTCACCTACACCAGTGACCTCTCCTAATAGCAAATTAAAATATTGGCAGTTATAAACTCCCTGTGCTATAGCTACAAATCTGTAAAATAAGACACCTACATCAAAAGTTATAAAATGTTGAACCAAACTAAAAAAGATTCAGGCATAAGAATCTATACAAAGCAAAGGACAATGACTGACAGGTTTATTTTCAGGAAAGGAAATAGAGGAAAAGAAGGGTTAGATTATGTGCTAAAGAGGACAAATGGAGGCAGAAAATAAAACATGATTTGGCACTACTGTTTGTGATTCATTTTACTAAAGCATTTTTAAAAACTGGAAATACTTTGGGACCAGCACTTAGCATAATGGCTATGTCACTGGACTCCCATGTAGTCCACCATGGTCTGAGTCCTGGACCTGGTGGCTTAAACTCACGCAGGGTGCGTGTGCATGTGCGTGTGTGCCCAAGATCCCGAGAGGAGAATGGAGGAGAAAGGACTGTGGCGTGGCCATCCCCCCTGGGGGCTGATTTCTCGCTTTCTGTCACGCTGTCTCTGTCTTTCTGGTGAGTACGTGTGCCCTATAGCAAAAACCTCTCAAAAAAAACAAAAACAAAAACAAAAACTAAAAATACTTCTAAAGAATTAAGATTTGAGATTTATTTTTCATCAATGTTTTTTATCCTTTTCAGTTTTATTATAGGGTATATGCGCTCACCAGAGAGAGACAGAGATGAAGAGGAGGGGAAGTGAGAAATCACCCCCCTGGAAGGATGGTCATGATGCAATTCTTTCTCCTTCATTCCCCTTTAGGGATTTTTGGGCACACATACACATGCGCCCAGCATGATTTTCAAGCCGCCAGGTCCAGGACTCAAACCATGCAGTTGGCCATGTGAGAATCCAATGCTTTAACCTCACATCCCCTATGGGTCCATTCCTCAAAAATTTTTCAATTCATTGTCCAGTTAGGTGGAGACAAACTAAACAAATTCTTCCAATATTTCTTTTGCTGGCCTGCCACCTGAAAGGATAGTACGCTATGATGCTAGAGGTAAGCCTTGTCTAATTGGCCCACTTTACCTTTTCATGCCAATCCCATACACATGGTAAACGACGGAAAATGACAAAAGGCAGAGAATCGTCAATACACATCTATGCATTTCTTGGACACAAAGCCACATTGCTTAGGCAGTTGATTCTCTCATTAAAACGCTATGCAAGTCAAAAATGGAAAGGAACTATTAATTATTTTAAGTGTGATTTTTAACTTTTTAATTTCAAGAAACTACTATGCTCTATGTATAAGAAGTGGACTTAACCTCATTTAAGGACAAAATCAACTGACACTGAAAATTGTTATACTTTGAGTTGAACAGAAAGAGAAGTTATAAAATCCCTTGGTATCTCAAGATTGTTTATACACTCAGGGTTGTTGTACAGAACATGATGGTGAAGAATGAGATGACTTCTGAAGATTCTTCCAATCCTTTTTGCTTCTAAATTTTTCCTATACTGTGCATGCACTCCCCGGAGAAACAGAGAAAGATAGAAAGAAAGCAAGATAACACCTCCCCCACGGGGGAGGGGCGCACCACAATCCCTTCTCCATTCTCTTCTCGGGATCTTAGGCACACACACACAGGCACCCAGTGTGCATTTAAAGCCGCCGGATCTGGGACACGAACCGTGGTCAACCATGTGGGAGTCCAGTGATGTAACCATTACGCCATCTGCTGGTTCCTCCACCCTTTATTTCATGATCTTTTCAGATACAGTTTTTATGTCAAGAATGTACTATTCTAGACCAGAGCAGAGTGAAGGATGTAACCACTACCAGAGTTTCTTCACTCCTCATTTCATGTTTTTCCAGATAACAACTAATTGAAAACAATGATTATTCTTCACTATATACTTACTTTCTTCCTACTATAAATCAGAGAAGTTATATAAGCTACATAACCAGTGGGTCGTCAAGAAAGTCATGACACATTTTTTGCATAGAAAATCATAGATACATATGTCATGACTTTCCTGACGACCTAATAGTAAATATACTACAGTACAGCTGTTATCTGTTATGGGTTTTGTAGGCAGCCTAGTATACCAAAAACAGGCTTTAGAGTCAGAGGAGATGGATATGAATATGTGCTCTTGTAATTGTGAGCTTTTTAACTGTATGCAAAAGTGACTAGCATGGTATATGGAACACAGTTTGTGTTCAATCAAGAAAATTTCCCTTTTAATAATAGAACAAGTAGCCAATATAACTAGTAGTTCAACACATTGATAGCTAGACTGATAAATATTTGATTTCCCATGGGACTAAGAAACATCACTAATTGGAAGATACTCGGAAAGTACTGGTGCAGTAATATGTTATTATTCACATAAAGAGTGTTATTAACAAGAGTTGAAATTTTTGAAAAGGAAATCATGTCAGAGACATCTACCATTTAAACTGGGGAAGGAAGGCATTTGACAGAAAAATAAAAGGAGCAAACATTTACTACTGCATGCTGTATGTGCGGTGTTAGGCACTCTCCATAAATTATCACATTCAATCACATGATACACAGAAATAATTGTAATTCTCCACGCACTTTGGTTTCTCAAAGTAGAGAAGCAGAATTGTACTATACATTAAACCTATATATAATGTATCTACTCCTTCATTTAGCAGTTAATAGACTGAAGTAAGCATTAAAGAGAAACCCATTTTTTCCTGTGAATGCGATGTGGAAACAAAAATAGGCAATATGTAGTAGAAAAGAATCATTTAAAAAATAAAATGAAAAATGAACTCACAGTGTAAATCCTCTGGAAATGACTTCAGTTTCTTGAACGAGACGTAAAGCTTTTCTCACCAGGTTAGTAAAAGCTCGGCTATTTGCTGCCATATCTTCCAAATAGACATTATATTTTTTTAGGGTCACTTGTAGTTTGGCTGTCCTCCATAATCGCGAAGCTCGTATAAGCAGATAAATAAATAAAACCACTCCCCATACCAGCCACGAAGATAGAATCCACCAAGCAGGAAGTACAATGAGAAAACTAATGAAGGCAATGAGTATTGAGACATCCCTAAGACAGAGAAATCAAGAAAACAATGCCCATCAGAATACAGACAGAAAGATGAATCACCAGTAAACACAATGGTTAATTTAGGTTTACTAACATAGATAAAATGCTGACTTCTTTGTGAAGCATGACTCAAAAAATTATGACATAATATGGTAATAATGTGAAATAGTTTAAAAATAACTAGCAACTGAACAGTGGTGTGTAGGTATTTAAAAAACTGGTATTAAACACAGGTGTCTTCTGAAAACACTTTGAGGGTAAAAAAAGATATGAAGGCCTTAAATTAAAAAGCAAATTATAGATTTTAAAGCTCAAGTTTACAAATTTATAAGTAATAATCCTATTTTAGAAATACAATTTGGTTCCCTTTTCCTAAAATCAGACTTTGATTTTATTTGTAAAGAAATATATTACATGAAGAGCATATAATCATTTTTAAAATTAGAAATGAGTAATTGTTTTGAATAAAACCATTTAACTTAAAAAATCATTACTATTAATTAGTAATATACATACTTGCCATAGAGTATGATATAAACAAGCTTTGTATTTTTTGTTTATTTAGATTTTTGCCATAGAGTACATGGGCTTGTAGGAGAAAGAAAGAGATAGAGAGAGAGATAAAGTGAGAAATCACTACCCACGGGATATGGGCGATGCTACTACCTCTTCTCCACTCTCCTCTTAGAATTTTGGGCACGCATCCACACACACCTGGCGTGTTGGTCAAGCCACTAGGTCTGGGACTTGAACTGCAGAGTTGTCCATGTGGGATCCAGTACCTTAACTACCACACCACTTCTTGGCAAAAGCTTTGTACTTTTATACTGCTTTAATTGAAGTAAAACATAAGTTTACATATTTTTATTCAGGTCAATTATAAATCAAATAGACAAAAATATTTCTTTTAAGCAATGAAAGTTTGGTGAAAATGTGTACATTTAAGGGGAGCTTTATTGGGGCTGGCAGGTGACACGGTGGTTAAGGCACAGGAATCCAATATGACCAACTGCAGTTTGAGTCCTGAACCTGGTGGCTTGCTTTCTCACTTTCCTTCTCTCTCTCTGATCAAATTTTAAAAAATAATAATGAATAAAATTAAATCAAATGATTCTCTAAAATAAAAGAGGGGATATATCTGAGTACCTAAAAAATGTCAGTGATAATTGGTGAGTTAATCAGACTGCAAAGAAGGTCACATGTGAGAATGTTTCTTTTTTTTTCTTTTTTCTTTTTTTTTTTTTTTTTAAATTTTTTTAATTTGACCAGAGAGGCACAGAGTGAGTGAGAGAAAGTGAGAAAGCAAGCCGCCAGGTCTGGAACTCAAACCGCGGTCGACCATGTGGGAGTCCAGCGCCCTTAACCACCATGCCACCTGCTGGCCCAAGAATGTTTCTTAATAAATATTTGTTTGCTCGAATTTCCTTTAGAGTTTTTCATTCTTTAAAAATTACACTGGTAATTGTATAAAGTAAAATCTCATCATATATGTTCATGTATTAAGAGCAAATTCTAAAAGTATTAATAAATCTCCTAATTCCTCAATCACATTTTTAGATAAAAGAAACTTTATAAAGTAATAAATTCTTAAAACCTATGGTTCCTTCTAGCAATTCCTAAAATTCTTATAATTTTGAAAAATAAGATGTTTTTTTAACCAACTCATGATATCTGAGTGACTGCAGATTTGGAAACCATCATACTTTGCTTTCTGTTAAAAATATGAAATATTTGGGGACCAGTATATGGTGTAATGGCTATGTCGCTGGACTCCCATGTAGTCGGACCATGGTTTGAGTTCTGGACCCGGTGGCTTAAACTCACGCTTGGGTGTGTGTGTGTGCATGCTCAAGATCCCAAGAAGAGAATGGAGGAGAAAGGACTGTGGCATGGCCACTCCTCCTGGGGGGGTGATTTCTCGCTTTCTTTCTGGTGAGCACACGTGCCCTATAGCAAAAAACTGCTCTTAAAAAAAAAGAAAAAGAAAAGAAACATTTGTCAGTGTCACAGAGAAGACATAAATTCAGAACACTGAGGCCAATGACTGTAACTGCCTGTATAACTTGAATAAGTTGAGCAGTGGTTTCGTGTATTCCATTCTTCTTAATCGAATTTAATAAACTAATTGGAAGAGGATTTTTTTTTTGGAGAGGTATGCAAAACCACATAGGTAAAGATTCTTTTTGGCACATGTTATACTTGTTTGTTGGGTTGCTAAGCACAAAACTAATTTTACTGAGTGACAGGGTTACATTCTGAGAAAAAGGTCATTAGGCATATTTCAATGATTTCAATGTTGTGCAAACATCATAAAGTGATAATGCCTACTACATATCTAGGCTATATGGTATAGCTTATTATAATTTAAAAAATTCTTTTTAGGTTTTTGTCATAGGGTGCGTGCACTCGCCAAAGAGACAAAGAAAGGAAGAGTGAGAAATCACCCCCCAAGGTGACGGCCATGTTGCCACCTCTTTTCCTTCATTCTCCTCACAGGATTCTGGGTATGTATGTGCATGCACTTGGCATGATCTTCACGCTGCTGGGTTTGGGACTCCAACAGTGGTCAGCAGTGTGGGAGTCTTAGCACTTTATCCACCATACTACCTGCTGGCCCCTAGCCTATTATTTTCTTATTTTTTTTTAATGAGAGATTTTTTACCTTGCTGGTGAAACAGAGACAGAAGGCAAGAAATCACCCTCTATGGGGGATAGCCACACCACAATTTCTTCTCCTCCATTCTCCTCTCAGGATTTTGGGCTTGCGCGCACGCGCGCGCGCACACACACACACACACACACACATGCCCGACATGAGTTTTATACCACTGGGCTAGGGACTCGAATCTCAGTCAACTACATGGGAGTCCAGCAATGTAACCATTAGGCCATCTGCTGGTCCTGCCTATTACAATCTTATAAGGACCAATGTAACATGACTGTCGGACAGTTCATGGAAAATTTATATTATGGGGATCGGTAGATGTTGTAATGGTTATATCAAAGGATTCCCATGTAGTCGACCATGGTTTGAATCCTGGACCTGGTGGCTTGAAACTCACACCAGACACGTGCATGATTTTGTACATGCATGCCCAAAATCCTGAGAGGAGAATGGAGAAGGGACTGTGGTATGGCTATCTCCTTGGGGGATGGTTTCTTGCTTTCTGTCTCTCTGGCGAGCAAACACGCCCTATAGAAAAAAAATCTCTCTTGGGAACCAGCAGTTAGCGTAATGGTTATGTCGCTGGACTCCCACGTAGTCGACCGCGGTTCGCGTCTCGGACCCGGTGGCTTAAATCTCACGCCGGGCATGTGTGCGTGCGTGCCCAAGATCCCGAGAGGAGAATGGAGGAGAAGGGAGGGTCACCCCTGGGGGGTGATTTCTCGCTGTCTCTATGTCTCTCTCTGTCTGTCTGGCGAGCGCACGCGCCCTATAGCGAAACCCTCTCAAAAAAAAAAAATCTCTCTTAAAAAAATTCATATTATAAAAAAGTATGCATGGATTAATAATTTTTTTTGCACTGAAATAATCTCATTTCTCATGAACTTTTATAAGTCTCCTTGCACGCAGGCTGCTGTTGACTAAAACATCATTATGCAGTGTGTAAATATAATAATCAAAAATTGGGGCTGGCAAGTGGCATGGTGGTTAAGGGCGCTGGACTCCCACATGGCCGACCATGGTTCAAGTCTTGGACCTGGTGGCTTGCTTTCTCACTTCCTCTCTCTCTCTCTGTCTCTCTCTGATCAAACTGGAAAATAACAATGATAATAATAATAAATAAAGTTAAATAAAATAATTAAAAAAATAAAAAAATTTTCCCCACAGCTTCACTTTAAATGGCATTTAAATTTTAGAAAGGTATGTTGCCTCTGAGATTTAGTTACGTTAATTGTAATGCTAAAGGAACAGAATATTTACAAAGGTTTTACAATGGAGAGAATGACGATGAATTTCCCCTGCTAATACTCTGAGTGTAAGCAGTAAAGGATAGATCTTTTCTGGACAGTACCAAATATTAGGGGTTGCCAGGGAGCAAAGTGTTGGCAGGTGTCCATTTTCCTGTTGTTGAGGCTGCCCTGCAGACAGGATACTGGGATCAAGTAGCTCAATCAGTTCCACATCCTCTTGTAACAGGACTTCCTGTTGCAGGATGGTATGTAGTGAGTCGAGTCGGAATCCAATATCCTTGCCATTAAAATACCGGAAGAGAGATATTAATACATGTATGATATTGTATTAAATGCTAAGCTCCTAATGTACTAATAAATTTAGTGGAATTTATTTTCAGTACAGACTGTAAGAAGAAGAAATATTTTTGGTATGATAGATGGGACTTTATTTTTACTATCAATGCCAAATAATAAAGACTGAGGTACACTATTATTAAGCCACCAGACAGGAAATCAAAATTTTAATAATGAGATGTAATTACAGATTAATAAAGGTGTCTCTTAAACTTAATTAATTAAACCACTGAGACACAAGGTGGGAAATATGATATTGTAACATAAAAGATGTTATCCCTGTATACTGTCACAATGTAGTCAGTATCTAAGAATTATATCAGTAGGATCAAGGACTCTTAAAAATGGACATTCAGATCTTCAAGAGTATCATTAAGAAATGTAATGCAAAGCGACACTGACATTTGCACTTTATAGTTTACAAAATGCCTTTAGATATACCAGCTCATTTATCCCTCCCTCTTCTTCAAGAAGTTATCTATCAAGAAATATTTCTTTTTGCTATAGGATGTTCGTCAGAGAGACAGAGAAAGACAGAGACAGAAAGTGAAAAATCACCCCCCAAAGGAGATGGCCATGCCCAATCTCTTTTCCTCCATTTTCCTCTTGGGACTTGGGGCATGAACGGACAGTGCACCCAGCGTGTTTCAAACCTTTGTGTCCAGGACTCAAACTGTGGTTGGCCATGTGGGAGTCCAGTGACATAACCATTATGCCATCTGCTGGTCCCTCAAGAAATATTTCTCATGAGCCAGGAACCACGCTTGACACTGAATACCCAAAAAATGAACAAGACGTACTAGTTTGTACTCTTAATGAGTTTGCAGTTTAATGGAGAGAAATAAAAAGCAAACAATCACAACATAATATGCAAAGGAAAGCAATGAGGTTTATCTATGGTGCTGTAAAAGTGGCACAGAGTGATCCAACTTGCAATGAAGTCAGAGAAAGTAGAGGAGGGAGGACCCTGAGCAGGATCTGAAAAGGAAGAACAAGAACTGGGAGGCTAGCAGATGGCGTGGTGGTTAAGGATGAACAAGAACTGACTGGATGAAAAACTACAAGAGGAGGATGAGACAAGATAAAAGCCTTTCTAATTTGGGGACATGTAAGTCACTGGATATTTGTTGTGTGCACAGTTCACCTGTTGGAGAGGTAAGAGATGAGGAAGCAGCGTTAGGGCAGACAGGCTGGTTATCACAGCAACCCTGCGATATGCGTTATCATCCTCCTCTCCATTTTATAGGGGAGAATACTGAAGCCAAAGAGATTAACTTTCCAGAATTCCGATTTCAAATTTTAAATCTCTGGTAGTTGATTCTACTTCCCTGCATATAGTCCTTCTCAACAGAAAACTGAAACATTTATTTTACAATACATTTAATAATAGAGCAACCCCATTATATGATCAAAATAAAGAGAATTTTACTGAACAGGCCTTTAGCAATTAAAGCAAAATCATTAGGTCTACCTAGGATTTGAAGGCAATGGGTTTGCTCTTCCTAGTTAATCATTCCCACACTACAGATTTCGGCCCTACTGGATCACAATGGGGTACTAATTAGGAATGTGGTGACCCATATACCAAAACGACTTCATGACTTCTTGATCAATTAACCACCGCTTTTAGAGAAGAATATTTTTAATAGTAAGCCTATTTGGATATAGTTTATTTATCTTTGATCTAAAAAGAGAACATCTCAATGGAATACTGATCTTCCTTTAGCCTAACTTTTTTTTTTTTTTTTTGGTATCTACTGACAATACAGGTACCTCTGCAGCACGTTATGTTTGATATTTGAACAACTGCCTCCTCTTCTTACGACACATATGTTTGATATTTGAACAACTGCCTCCTCTTTCTTCTTACGATACTACTTCTAACACTTAGGAACCACTCCTAAATTATTTGATGCACCCTTCCACTTTCATGAGAAGGAATTCATGAAAGCACAATTCACTCTATATCATGTTTAGAGAGAGGGAAAAACAAGGAGAGCAGAAGATGGAGCATGGTAGCTAGCTCTTCAAGCAATCTCTAAAATGAATCTTCGCACATTGATTGTAATGTTTAGTTTAGATTCCCCAATTAGACAGAGAAGTATTCAAATGTAAGGACTGAAAATCAAACTTGTGCCACAAAAGCATTAAATCATACCTCTCACGAGACTACTATGTACCTTTATATGGGTAAGTTTAAAGAAGCCTAACTTTTTTTTTTTGTTTTTTTTTTTTAGAGAGAGATTTTTGCCATAGGGCAAGTACACTTGCTGGAGAGACAGAGAGAGACAGAAAGAGAAAAATCACCCCCCAGGAAAGATGGCCACGTTGCAATCCCTTTTCCTCCATTCTCCTCTCAGGATCCTGGGCACGCACACTCACGTCTGTGAGTTTTAAGTGACCCAGTCTGGGACTCAAACCGTGGCCAACTACGTGGGAGCTCGGCAACGTAGCCATCTCGCCATCTGCTGGTCCCAAGAAGCCTAACTATTGATAGGTGAAGGCTAAAGCTGACTGATGGGGGGAAAGCCGTTAACAAACAATGGGAGTCCTCCTTCAGATAAAGATCCCACCTAAGCAGTTACTCACGCTCTCTGACACCACTCCTTGGCTTCAGATCTATCCACAAAACCAGGATAATACCTCCATGCTTGGAGGCAGTATTAATAGTTTTGGGAACATTTTTAAATGCGATAAATTGGGCCGTTCATAGTAGTGCAGTGGTTAAATGTAGTGCAGCAGAAGCCAGATCTCGGATGACCCACCAGTTTGAATCCTGGCTCTGGTGGATCAAAAAACATGTAGGGCACATGTGCACACATGCCCAAATTCCTAATGGCATGGAAAAACGGAGGATAAAAGGATTGTGGCATAACCATGTCCCATGGGGAGGGTGCTCTCTCTTTCTCTCTCTGGTGAGTGCACATGCCCTCTGTGAAGAGAGGTTATAGAATTTATCCTTCCCTTTCCCCTATGATTGAGACCATAAAAAGAGACCTCCCTGTCATGAGGAGCAAACCTGCTGAAGTGTCCCCACCCCAACCCTGGTGCCAGAGCACTCCTGCCTGAGCTGTAATAAACTTAACTTCTGGTCATGCTCACATTTTTGTCTGTCTCTGCTAAGTTCGTTCTTTCTTTCTTTCTTTTTTTTTTTTTGGAGAGATTTTTGTTATAGGGCATGTGCTCTCACTAGATAAGACAGAAACAGAGAGACAAAAAAGCAAGAAATCACCCCCTAGGGGGATGGCCACACCACAATCCCTTCTCCTCCATTCTCCTTGTGGGATCTTGGGCATGCATACACAGGCACCCGGCACACATTTGAAGCCATTGGGTCTGGGACTCGAACTGAGGTTGACTATGCAGTCCAGCGACGTAACCATTACGCCATCTGCTGATCCCGCTGCTAAATTCTTTAATCACCTAGGTACTGGTCCCAATGTCCCAGTACACCACTGAGCCCTCTGGCATTAAAGGAAAAAAAAAAAAAGAATGACAAACCAACAACCTACAATCACCTATAAATACAAATGAACCTGAAAAGGAGAGGGGGCTGGATGGTGGCACGGGTAAAATGCCATGCTCTGCAAGACTGACGCACACGGGAAGGTTCCAGGCTCAGATCCAGAGATCCCTGATATATGCCAGGTAGGTGTGTGCCCAGATCCAGGACTGGCTGGAGCATGGCATCAAGTGTTGTTGGGATGCTGTCTGTCTTTCACTGGTGGAATACATACACACATACAAAGATAGGAACTTTCAAACAAGAACTACAAAGGGACCAGGACGCTTCAAATAACAGAAACAGTGTTATGTTGGTGGTTAGATTCTCTCTAGGAAGGATATATTCTGCTAAGTACACAGTAGTACCTCCTTAACCATGAGAGATACATCTAAGACCCCCGGGAGATACTTGAAACTGAAGATAGTACCAAATCCTACATATACAATGTTTTTTTCTATAATCATAAAAATCAGAATTATAGAAAATGTGAAAACTGTGTAATAATCTAGCAAACAAACTACCAGGAATATAGATACCAGCCAAATGAAAAAACATGTAACGATAACCCTATTTGAACTGGGAAGGCCAGGTCCAAGTATCAAATAAACACACTGAAAAAGTACTAATTTTTTTTCAAAGAATTATTTAATTTTTAAAATTATTATTATTAATAATAATAATTTAAAATTATTATTAATAATAATTTTAAAAATTTGACCAGAGAGAGAGACAGAGAGAGAGAAAACGAGCTACCAGGTTCAGGACTCAAACTATGGTTGGTCATGTAGGAATCCACAGCCTTAACCACCACGCCACCTGCTGGCCCAGAAAAAGTACTAATTTTGATCAACTTAAGATATTGGCAGGTGCGCTGTGTTGAGTTGGGAGCTCTGAACTATTGGGAGTTATACTATATAAACTTCAGTTCACCCTCAACAGCCTGAGTGCCAAGAATTAGTGCTTCAGTTTACACTCTAGCTCCACAACCTAAGCAAGTTAATAATCTCTCTTGCTAGTTTTCTCATCTACAAAATGGCAATAATAATGGTACCTATTTCATAGGGATGCTGCGAAGAGTGAAAGTCAGTATCTATAAAATGGTAAGAGTGTCTAGCAAGGAGCACTATATAAATAGTAGCTGTTAGTGTTCTTATACATTAAATGATTAAAACACAATAAAGAAAAGTACACTGAACATATACAATACAAAAACTTAGAGGACACAGCATAGATAATTACTATTATGTTGATGTAGAAATAAGAGATCCGAAATGCCTTTTTTTTTTTTTTTGAGAGGTTTTCGCTATAGGGCGCGTGCGCTCGCCAGACAGACAGAGACGACAGAAAGCGAGAAATCACCCCCCAGAGGGGATGGTCATGCCACAATCCCTTCTCCTCCATTCTCCTCTTGGGATCTTGGGCACACACGCACACGCGCCTGGCGTGAGTTTTAAGCCACTGGGTCCGGGACGCGAACCATGGTTGACTACGTGGGAGTCCAGCGACATAGCCATTACACTAACTGCTGGTTCCCCAGAAATGCTTTTTAGAAAGTCTTAAGGAAAAGCTAGGACTGCTTACTGAAAAGATTTCAAAGACTGAGAAAAATGAAACTAATTCCACCACAGTGTAATAGCACAGACAGACATACAGATTAAGTATGGAATAAAAGGAAAAGAAGACTAGGTCCATTGATGAAAATACTGGTAGACAAACCTGGAAAGATGCTAGGGTTAAATTATGCAGAGTCTTCAATGCTGAAGTGTTGAATTTAAGACCTGATTTGATGAATAATGGAGATCTTTTTAGAGCCTAAACAGGAAAGTGACATGAGAAAGTAATTTAGGAAGATTTTTACCTGGATAAAATGAGGAGGATATCAGACATCATAGGACAAGAATAAAGATATTTCATTTTTTTCCCCAGAGAGACAGAGAAGAGAACTTACTAATTTGTCAATATACTTCAACGATCTAATACACTTTTTAATAATGAAGTGCTATTTCATAAAGCTGATATGAGGATCAAATGAGATAACATGTATAAAAGCACTTTATAGGTTCAAGCATGCTTTAAAGATGCTATTGTCATGACTACTGTTATAGATGCTATAAAGAAATCTTTTTAAAAATCTTTCAGAAAAGTACTATGAAAATGAACAACGGTAAAATGTTCAGATATCACAGAACAATTGACAATATTTTCATGAGATGAAATAAGGGCCTGCTTCAATATCCATGTAGCTAAGAAAGTTTCAAATATGTCATGGTAATCAAGGGGAAAATGTGAAGCAATCTTACTCTAGAAGCCACATAGGCTTCCTGTTCCGTAGTTGATAAACTATTCCTTAGGTATGTATTTCTGCAGTTCTCCATACCACAAGCAGGAAAGAGATATGTACAGAAGCTGGCACTTCATAGTGAAACATGACATAAAACATGCAGCCAGTGACAAAGAACCAAGAATGAAAAGACCATGCCTACACAGACTGATTAAGCCACAGAAAAATGTAAGTGGACCCATGTACCTTACCACAGTCCTAGCAGCACTGAAGAATGGGATGGCTCCGCCTGGGTAAAGATGATATTCTATGTAGATGACAAGACACTTCACTGACTTTCTTAACACACCTTCTACAAAGATGAAACCCTGAATAGAGAACTTAAAAATGTGGATTTCTAAGAAAAGTAATTTTAGTCAGTCAAAAATAATACTCAAGCTAGAGAGGTAGGGTATTACAGAAGAAAAAGCATGGGCTTTGGAACAAGGAGACCTGGGTTCAGATTCTGATCCTGTCACTTTCTAGCTGACTATGGTTTAATAATTCGCTTAAGAAGCTGTTAAACTAAATTGAACTGTGTGAACCTTGGCATTTTCACTAGTAAAATATACTAAACCTATAGCAGTTTGGATTACCAAATCAAAATGTGAAAGTACTTTGTAAATAATCTCTTTACAAATGTTAATTTACAAGAATGATCATTTTGAGGTGACAGGCCGGCAGAGGATCCTAACACCTGCTCACTTCTAACTTGACTGTTCCTTCTGGGAACCATTGAAAAGTTTATCATTTCAATTTTTAGCTATATGATCTGGACTTTATATAGTTACAATGGAAGAAGTTTGAAGTATACCCCTGTTGCAATCATCACATATATTAGAGCAGAGATGAAAAAAAAAAAGAACAGCTTCCCAGGAGTCACAAAGACCCTCAACATAAGTCGTTATAAAACTATGTGATTTACAGTCCCATGAGACTGAATTTATCCCCTAAGAGATATATTTCCTTCCCTATTGAGAGGAAAACCTTTCACTGGAAGAAAATGATAGGAGTAAATTAATAATCTAAGAAATAAGATTTTACTAAATACCAGAATATTTCATTCTAAATGGCTAATAACCTTTTATAAGAGCTATTACCAATGAAGCCCAAGTTAAAAGATCTCTAGTTATTATAGAATTTCTAATAAAAATGAGTACTGCCCAAATCAGCAGCAAATAAATTCTGGTTCGTCAGTTCTTTCACTGGAGCCCTAAAAAGTTACAAAAAGAAATAGAGTGAATACTTACCAACTTGTGAAGTAAGTCATCTTTCTTATTGCACTGAGGATAAAAAATCCAACTTTTGACGGTTTCAGCCACTTTTAACAGGATATTTTCCTGGAGGAGATGAATGACTCTGTGTAAGATTACTAAACCCCACTCAAGCAGAGAAACTGCAAATAACTTACCTCTACTCAGCCAGAATTTTAATCAGAAAAAAGAGAAAAATATCAGCCAGGTTATATACTTTATCAATATGCCTCAGCCTCCTTATTAATGATGGTTCCCAAATTCAGTTGTGCATCAGAATTATCTAGAGATTTTAATTAGAAACATATTCTTAGGCCCCACATTAAAGATTCTGGTTCAGTATATGTGGAATGAAGTCTGAAAATCAGATTTTAAACATCAGCCAGAAGTTATCCTGATGCACTCCATGTAACTTGGAACACTGTATACTATCTATGTCAACATGATAATGGTATTTCTTTCAGAATGAAAACCAGACAGTGTTCCACTTCTCAAATATTGATATAAGACCATATCATTCCACTATGCTAAGGCAGAAGATAATTAAATCATTTTAGAAAAAAAAGGTCACATAATGAAATGAAAGTTATATTAACTGAACCAACCACAAATTTAATTTGTCTTAGTAGCCCATTCTCTGAGCCTGCCAGTAAATGGGTGTTTACATTCGCTGAATGACTACTACATTCCCAGGTACTGCAAAGGGTCATGGGAACAAAGATGAATACATATAACGACTAAGAGACAGTACTGGGGGCTGGAAGGTGGCGTGGTGGTTAAGGTGCTAGATTCCACATGGTTGACTGTGGTTAGAGTCCTAGACCTGGCAACTTGCTTTCTAGCTTTCCCCTCCCTTTCTCAGGTCAAATAAAAAAGAAATAATAATAATAATAGTAACAAAGAAAATTAAACAAATACTTCTTTAAAAAATAAAAAAGAGACAGTATAAATAATTACAAACCAATGTAAAATCTGGAAAAAATATATGAAAAGAGATTGGATTGGAGCTAACACTGGAGTTAAGCCTTAACAGAGAGTAGGAATTTGACAATAAAAAGAACACTTCAGGGGGGGACCAGCAGTTAACGTAATGGCTATGTCACTGGACTCCCATGTAACCGACTGCAGTTCGCGTCCTGGACCCGGTGGCTTAAAACTCACGCCAGGCGCATGTGCATGCGTGCCCAAGATCCTGAGAGGAGAATGGAGGAGAAGGGATTGCGGTGTGGCCATCCCCCCTGGGGGGTGATTTCTCGCTTTCTATCTCTCTGTCTCTCTCTGTCTGTCTGGCGAGTGCACGCGCCCTGGAACACTTCGGGATCCCTGAGAAACGAGATGGCGCTTCTCTGCAGGTTGAGTGTCCTTTGCAATGCCCAAGGAGGCCAAGCTCTATTCCTACAAACCCCACTGGTCAGACCTGCTCATGTCTTCACATTTCTCCAGGACCAACCTACCCCAGGATGGTGTAGAGCACAGGGAGTGCAGCACATCCACTTGTCACCAAACCACCACTCCAGTTCCAAGGCTGCATCTCTCCACTGGACTAGTGAGAGGGTGTCAGTGTTTTGCTCCCAGGCCTGCTTCCAGATGCTTATTTGAATCTTTGTTCTGCGATGGACTACTCCCTGGCTACAGTCCTCACTCTCCATAGTCACTGGGGCCTTAGACAAGCTGTTACTATGTTGTGGGGATGCATCACAGAAAGCTGCCAAGGCAGGCCTTTTGGCACTCTCAGCTTTAACCTTTGCTGGGCTTTGTCATTCAACTATCATGATGTGGGCATCTGCAAAGCTGTTGTCATGCTGTGGAGGCGCTGATCTTTTTGATGTAATATCTTAAGAAGTGATTGTGTGCCTCTTTGCCTTGCTCTGTAATACTATTCGGCTCACAATAAGGAGGAAATAACAGATAAGTTCATTGGTGGACAGGTCTCTTCTAATCATATGGTTATTTTCAGAATTGAACTATTGAAGAAAACGTTTGAAAGGTATCCAGAAATTGTGAGACTGAGTTTTGTATTCTGCTGAATTAATGGAGTTGTCTCCAAACTTCTCATAAGACTCATAGTATAGTTAAACATTATATAAGAACTTTTGCTATTTATCAATCTCTTGAAGAGAATTCAGCTTTATTACTATCAATACACGATCAAAGTTCTACATTTGTCCTGAGAATAACGGACAAAGAAAAAGACTAGTAAGTCGTGTGAAGAGACTGCTAGTAATTAGACAAGTGTTTAATTTTTGAAAACGTCCCCTTCTCCTCAGTTAATACCAGCTACTAATGATTACATATCCTAGGGAAATTTTAAAATGAGGGAACGCTAATACCACCACTTGTAAAGAATTTTTCCATGCTAGAAAGATCTCAGAGAGCTTCTGAATAAAGAGAAATTCATTTAGGGAAGAGGTCCACCTTGTAGATGTGTCAAAATGTTACAAATTATGAACCCAGATGTAATGTTTAAATGCAATATACTTGTCCTAAAGTAATCTGTCCACAAATATAAAATCATAGGAAATAAATTATTATTTTCCAACTATGGGAATCTCTAATATGAAAGTATATTCTAGAAAAGAAACAATAAAAAAAATACTGTATATTTTTTTAAAAAAGAAAACACTGCGGGTGAGTGAACAGGATGGGCAAAGGAAAAAGCCACAGAAGCACATGTCCTGGGGATGGTGCCAGAGTCTAGGACAGTAATGATGCAAGGGAAAAAAGGGATTAGTAACGAAGTTATGTTTTATTTTAATTTATTATTATTATTATTGTTATTATTAAGTTTGATATGGGGCAAATGCACTCACCAGAGAGCAACAGAGAGGCAGAGAAAGAGAGGGAAAGTGAGAAAGCAAGCCACCAGGTCGGTGACTCAAACCACAGTTAGCTATGTGGGAATCTAGTGGCCCAACACCACTAGCCCAGTAATGTAGTTTTAAAAAGTAAACTGAGGGCCAGCTGGTGGCATAGTTGTTAAGGCAGCTATATCCTACATATATGACTGCATGGTTCAAGTTCTGGACCCAACAACTGGAAAAACATGCTGGGTACCTGTGAGTGAATGCCCAAAGTCCCAAAAGAAGGGAAACAAGCAGAAGGGATTGTGTGGTCATACCCTAAAGTGCTTTTTCACTTTCCTTTGCTCTCTGTATTTCTTGGGCTAGCATACATATCCTTAGGCAAATTGGGGGAAAAAAAGCACATTGACATAGGTTTTACATACTATGGTAGTTTACATTTTATCCTGTAGGCTATGAAGAGACTCCATAAATTTTTATGTAAGGAAGTAAAACAATAAAATCAGAATCTTAGAAAAATAACAGGTGGGGGCCAACTGGTGGCATAGTGATTAAAGCACTGGATCCCACATGGCTGACTCCCTGGTTCAAGTCCTGGACCCAGTGGCTGAGAAACCCCCCGGGTGCATGTGTATGTGTGCTCAAAATCTCAATGGAGGAAAGGGACTGTGACATGGTCTTCCTCCCTGGGGGGTGATTTCTCATATTCTCTCTCCATCTCTCTCCAACAAGTGCACAAGAAAAATTAATTAATTAATTAATTAATTAAAATGACAGGCAATAGTATGGCTGTCATACTGGAAGGCCATGCCTGTAGCCTAGAAGCATAATTAGGAGGCTATTTAATAGTCTTAGCTTGGGACCAGCAGTTGCGTAATGGCTATGTCGCTGGACTCCCATGTAGTCGACCGCAGTTCGCATCCCGAACCCGGTGGCTTAAAATTCACGCCAGGCGCGTGTGCGTGCGTGCCCAAGATCTCAAGAGGAGAATGGAGGAAAAGGGACTGAGAAAT